GCTTTTGTTAACCAGTGGCAATAAGATCTTCAATCATACAAGCACCGATCAAACATTGAACAATAACCTAAATCACTCAAGTATAGGTGTGCGCTCTCAAAAACAGAAAAATAGCAAACTCTAGGGCTTTTGAAATTTTTAATGAAAAAGCTTTTAGAAATTATTGTGAAAAAGATTTTATATATAAGATTAGAGACATATTAGGGTAAAAAAAAAAAAAAAAAAAGAAAAAAGAAAAAAAAAATGTCCAACTTTTGTTAAAATATTCCTCTAATTCAGATTTAAAAAGGCAATACAAGCTGGCTTAAACAAAAAATTCATTTTTTGTCCAGGACAAGTTCAACCAGTTCTACTTGAAAGTACAACCGGTTGGACTTGTACTGAGTATTGCTCTTGGTAAGGTAATGCAATTGGTTCCAATGTAAAGTACAACCGATTGGACTTCTGAAAAATCCTAAGCAGTCTCTATCCAAGTTCAAACCAACTCCAAGTGATTCTCAGACACTTAATTGTTGAGTTTGTGCACAGCGGAATGGTTGTGGAATATAAAATGGATAGATAACCTAGAGGATGGGGAATAGATTCAACTTATTCTTTTATCCAATTTTTACTTATTTTAATTTTACTGAAATAAAGCTAAAATCAAACCACAAAGCAAAAATAAAATGCAAGTAAAGTAAATAGAGGTTGAGAGATAACACTAGGATTATTAACAAGGAAACCCCAATTGGTAGAATAGACCAATTGCGGGAAAAACCTCGTTGGATTGTGCAGTCCAGAGAGAAACGATCCACTTTGTTTGAAGCAAAGTACACCGAACTTTGACTCAGGCTCACACCCTATTATTCTGCCAAAAATCAATCGCTGACAATTCTTGACTTTATAACTCTCTCGTCCAACAGCTCTTGACCTCAAGCTTACTCTTGATCTCTGTAGAAGAGTTGCAGGTAGATCAAACAATACTCCACGAATGCTTTGACCCCTTCAAAGTGTGATTGTTTTACCCCTTTTCTTCAAGATCTAAATTTTGTATGCAAAAACCGTGAATAAACCTAGATGACTATCAAGGTTTATATAGAATTTAGAATGTCCTAATTCCTCTGAAAATATAGAAAATTTTGTGCATAGGACTTGAAAGAAAGTTTAGTCCAAAAAGGAATCAAACAGAGTAAGAAATGAAGGATGCCTTGAACTAGTACAAGATTTTGGCTACCGGTTCAAGAAGGTCAGAAGGAATTCCATCGCACTTTAGCTACTGTTTCAGCCTTTGGCTACTGGTACCAAGAAGTTCCTACCAGTTTCCTAATGGACAAAAGTGAATCCTTCATTTGGCTACCCGTACCAGATGTTGGCTATCCATACCAAATGGACACAATGTAAATTTCCTATCGGTACGAGATTTTGGTTACCAGTACGAGATTTTGGTTACCAGTACCAAATGGACAGAATGTAAATTTCCTAAGCACTTCAAACTTCTAAAAACTTCCTAAGTGTTCTCATTCACTCACATACCTTTCTAAAGCATTGTTCTCATCATCCTAGAGTATAGTAAACCATGAACACTTGAATTTCTTAAAATCGACATCCGGTCTTCAATCTTGAATTTTTTTGTATCGAAAAATTACAACTCAATCGGACTTATTTTGAAAACAAAATTAACTAATATACAAAATATATATTTTTCACAATCTTTCCCAAATATATATCTCACATTAATTTCCTTAACTATTTGTTGTTAAATGTTGAACCTGTGTGTGTGTGTATATATATATATATATATATATATATAATAAAAAACAATTGACCAAAGGTGGTGTTCTTTTGAGCAAAAAATAAATAAATAAAAACATTTACCAACAAAAAGAACCACATCTATTTATTTTGATTGCACCATATGAATTTCATTGAAAAACTAGCCAAAACTCGCATTTCGTCCTAGGCTAGGCCTCCATTTCCATTGTGCCCGCTCCAACAACAATGTAGTTGCCAGCAAGGGCGGATTTAGGGTGGACTAACCCAAAAAAGAAAAATTCTATTAATATAGGTAATTTTAGCCTAGCCAAAAAAAATAATAAAAAATTACTATTAGTATTAGCCCACAAAAATATTAGTCCACCCAAACAAGTTCAAGTCAGCTAAATTTATGTTTAATATTAATCCACCTTATTGACAATTTCTAAACCCGCCCTTGGTTACTAGTAAGAGAATATATTGCAGCCTCGCATGAATATGCAATCCGACAGTTAAATCATGAAAATGTATAGAAGGCGGGGAATTTCCTTGGTAAAGGTCTCAAATATGTGAAGTAATTGGCATAATTTGGTGATTAAAACGAAATCCAAATCGAGTTGAATTTTTCATTTATATGTGAGTCACTGGTTTCAGAAGTGAAGAATTCAAGTGAAGCAAATCATGTATGTACTGGGTTTTGACTATTTTGAAGTGTTTGAAAATGCAATATTTTTTTCAAGCATTTTATTATGATCGGTGGAGCGAGACATTAGGGTCTTGGCAACAATCAGGGCTCGCTGGACCCTTGGGTGACTTAGGGGGTCGCTTAAGGTTCAGCCAATAGAAAAACCCCAAATAAATTGATTTCTTTGTTTTACAAGTTTTTTAAAATTTTATTTCATTATATTATTAGACTACTAAGAAGGTTCCATATCCTTTTATTTCTTTATACTACAACCTTTCTATTTTTTTTTTTTTTAATTATTTCATTCTATTATTACATTCTGGTGAATAGAAAGACCTCAAAATTTTGTATTTCCCTTATATTATAACCTCCATTATATTTTATTTCCTTCTATTATTATAACCTAACCAATAAAGACTTAATAGAGGGTCTAAATGGTTTATACCCGTATCTCAACTTTTTTATTTATTTATTTTTTTCACCATCTCTTCTCGTTTTCTATTTTTCATTATCCTTACACGAGCCTTAAATATCGAATACACATTTATTTGTTGAACTTTTCCATATTCTCTTTAACTTTATCTTCTTATTTTTTCCCCTTTTATTTGATTATTTCTCACTTATTTTTTCTTTTCTCTCATTACCTATAATTCGTAGAGAAAGACAATTTGATGAGAATGTAGATGATGTAAGCAACCTCAATCAGCAGAATAAATTTTTGGAATCAAATTTATTTTTGTTAATAAATAGTTGACCAAGCTATTTCTTGAATTCATTGTAGGTTTGAACAATTTAAAATATATGAACATATATATATTTTTGGTTTTTTCTTTAATTTTAAAAAATTAAAATCATTATATGATGATGGCTTGAGAAAATATTGTCTTAAGAATTAAAAGTTTTTTTAAAAAAAAAAAAAAAAATACTGTAATGCAACATAAAGGAGTTTTTTAAAGCTAAAGTTGATAAAATCACTTCTAATATGTCACAAGAAAAATTAAATGAATTGACTATATTATCTATTGAAAAAGATACTTTGACAAAACTTGAATGCAATAATCTAATTAGTAACTTTGCATCCGAAAAACCAAAAATGTATTTTAAAAATAAATAATATTAACTATTATTTAATATTAATATATTACATGGCCACTGTTATTTTATTCGCCTAGGGCCTCAAATTATATTGTGTCGCCCCCGGCAACAATAGAGTGATAAACACAAAATGAAGAAACGGTAATAACAACTAAGAAGTGAGAATAAATTCAAAATAATAAGGAAAGACAAAAAAAAATTTTTAAAAAAAAAAAAAAGAAAAAAAGAAAAAAGAAGAAGAAGATGCAATTAGAATAGATGAAACATCATTATGTTCCCCAACTCTCTGGAGCAACTTACTGGATTTTTTATTTTTAATAAAAAAAGTCTCTAGAGCTAGATTTATATATTCTGTTTCTCTATAATTCTGAGTTGGAACCTATGGTTAATGTATTGGAATTCAACTATTCAACATGAGACTTCATTTGTGTGTAATATGCATCCAAATCTAAATTAAACTAATAACATGTTTGTTAAATGTCCTTGTAGGTTGGGACTAAAGTATAACAACAGAAAATGAAGGGTAACCTGATCAATTTACCCTTTAAAACTAATTGTACCTAACATGCAAAGCCATTTGATTTTTGTAGTAGCTGTATGCCAATTTTGTTTTCTAATTCTAAAATGGGGTTCTAGAGTGAGACAATTTTGGGTACCTTAAGTTATATATAGGAAAAATTACATAAAAGTGGAGTCATGAGAGTTTATTTATCTAGAGATGGATTCAAAATTAACACTTTTCAAAGGTTATGAAATTTGACAAAAGTTCTATGACATGAAAAAACATTGTTTATTTGTCTAAATTACCCTTAATATTCTCATGTACCACTTCTATGCATGTAAAGTACTTACTCTCATGCACAAAGGTACCACTTTTATTCATATAAGTTCACTCTTGGATTAGAGTGTCCATACCACTTTTATGTAGGTAAGTGCCACTCTGTATACAGAGGTGAGGTATCGTGCCTCTGCATGTAAGTACCTCTTTTGTGCGTAAATGTATCACTTTTTGAGCAGACTATTTTGATTACTTGGTTTGTACAAAAATAATACTTGCGTGCTCAAAAGTGATACATCTATCCATAAAAATGGTATTTATATACATAAAAGTAATACATAAAGATATTAAAGATAATTTGGATAAATAAATAAAGTTTTTTCGTATCCACATAAACTTTGGTTAAAGTGGATAACTTCAAAAAGTGTTGATTTTGACTTAGTATCAAAATAAATAGTCCTAAAACTCCATTTTTCAGTAATTTCCCCCTTATATCACATGAACAAACTAAAATATGTATGTCAATACCACACGTCTCATCATAGAGACGGCTATATATACATATATATTATATAATATATATTTGGGAAGCAACCTAGAGAGACATTATTAGACATACATAGTGAATGTCAACTTCATGAATTTTGGTAGCTAAATGGCACCTGGGACGGCATTGTCCCACCCCCAATGCGAACCCCATGATCCTCTAGGTCGCCCCGGGGCTCGACTGGGGGGTGGGAACAATGTTGTCCCTATTGTTTTTGGTGGTTCTGTCTTGTACGTCGTTGGTGACTCCTTCAAAACACCTCCAAACCCAAACTATTTCACAGAAGAACATATTCATCTTAGCCGGACAGAGCAACATGGCCGGACGAGGAGGTGTCATTAACGGCATCTGGGACGGCATTGTGCCACCCCAATGCCAACCCAATCCGATGATCCTCAGGCTCGCGGCAGGGCTCCAATGGGAGGAGGCACACGAGCCACTCCATGCCGACATCGATTTCAGGACAACTTGTGGGGTTGGGCCTGGAATGGCGTTTGCCAATGATTTGTTGACTAAGGTACCGAGCTTTGGGGTGCTGGGTTTGGTGCCTTGTGCTGTGGGAGGGACTAAGATTGATGAATGGTCAAGAGGGACTAGGCTTTACAATGAGTTGTTGAAAAGGGCAGGGTTTGCTTTACAGGATGGTGGGTCAATTCGCGCCATTCTCTGGTACCAGGGAGAGGCAGATACAGTGACCCAACACGACGCCCAGGTCTATAAGCAGAAATTGGAGAGTTTTTTCTTCGATCTGCGCACTGATTTGAAGTCTCCCTCACTCTCTATATTCCAGGTAACATGTTGCCTTCTCAACAACCATATACATGTGTAGGATCCATACATATGATTCTCTCTCAATTTGTAATTATTTTTGTGCTGTTGATATATGTCAAAAGTTAGATCTGTATCCAATCCATCTTTCTTCGTACTGAACCGCGACCATGTACATAGATATAAGATCCATTGTTAGTCAAGAGTTTCCGAGAGTTTTACTTTATTATTAATTTTTAATATCAAAAGTTGGGTGGACAATGTAACGGTAAAATTGTTTCATTGTTACATGGAAGTCGAGGGTTAATTGAAAATCATAAACAACCATGCAGAGTATATATAACCTTTTCTTCATAATAATCGGAATCTTATGCATTACTTTTTAATATTGTTAGAAATAGACAGAAGGGAATAATACAATGTATTGTATTACTGTATTGAATGAAAAATATACAACCACAGATGGGGTTTTTATAAGTGAGGATGGTAAGTAGGTGAGTGAGTGTTGCCCAAGCTTCTATACATATAAATAGAGGGTAGGTGAGCCGACGGCTATACAAGGTGAAAACCCTAACCCTAATAATCTCGTGCATTGCTTTTTGACATCAAATTAAACCTTCTCATATGATGAATATGCTCTGTTGTATACCTAATAATTTATATATATACATATATGTGTGTGTAAGGTATTACAATTTATATTGTTTGTTGCTTATGGTTAGGTGGCATTGGCATCAGGACAAGGGCCTTACGTAGAGACAGTGAGAGAAGCACAACTGAGCGTGAGTGTTGAGCTTCAGAATGTGGTGTGTGTGGATGCCAAAGGACTACCACTGGAATCAGATGAGCTGCACCTCAGCACCCCAGCCCAGGTCCGACTTGGAGAGATGTTGGCTGATGCATTCTTGCAGTCCATTCCTAGCCCAACTCCGAGCCCAACGCAAAGTCATGTTCCAAGAAGGTTTTCCTATTCTCTTTCAAACCTTTTGATCGGCACATTGTTTACAACCCTCTTGCTGATCCTGACCGTTGATCGATCTTTCAGTTGAGTAGTATAATTGTTAATAATCTGGATGGTTACAATTCAATTGTAGCAATAATTATTGGGTTAAAGCTTGCAAATAGAGAAGGGATAGAAAAACTGTCAAATTTCAGCTTGTTTGATTTCTTCCTGAATTTGTATACTAGTTTTTGCTTATATATATACGGAGTACTTGTTTTCTTTCCTTTCCTTTCCTTTGAAGGGAAGATACAAAATTTCCACAGTAATAAAGATAAGATTAAGAGGATGCAGATATACAGACCACTACAAAGTACTAGTGGAAAATGATGTGCATCTTTTCTCCGTTTTCTTTTTTCTTTTTTTTTTTTCAGTTGTTACTCCGGCATTCCCTTCAAAAAATTGATTACATATAAGTGGAGTCGAAACTTAAACCTAATAATTCTTGAATCACCAGAGTCAATTGAACCAACCCTTGGATTATCTTTTACCTCGTGTACACATAAAACTCAAACCCCTTTGACCCTCACACTAGCCTATTTCTAAAATGTCGTGTATACTTTTATAAGTGCCTTGCTGGTGCACACTTTTTCCAATTTTTCTTATCATGTATGTAACCAAATTTCACTATTCACAGCATGTGGGTGTCAAAAGATGACGATGAAATGCATGGTAAATTTTGATAATATTGGGTGCCAAAATTTTATCCATGATGCTATTATTATTTTTATATTTTTATTTTTTCCGAAAAAAACAACTATAAGGTATCTACCAAACATAACCAAACAAACTAACACTATGCAAATTCATAAACAAAGTTACCAAACAAAGTCATCATAATATAAGATATGGCCCCAAAGACCTTACAATCATAAAAGCATTTCACGTCCCAGCCCAAATTAAGACCCGTACTTAATTGGTCATTTATAAATGCAAGCCACCAGGGATTTAAAGCTAGACCAAACTTAACATCAGTCCCAGTTAGACACAGTTTATGGATAATCATAATGTCAGATCCATGATGCTATGCTCATCCATGTTTCAATTCATAATGATGCAAAGTTTGACTTACCTCCAACAATAGCTATAGGACAACCCTTCGATCCATTTATTCCAAACAATGTGCCATTTTCTTCGTAGGTCTGTTTACACCTATTTTGGCAAATTATGTAGCGTGGCGGATATTTTAATGGTGATGTCACTATTTTACATCCATTTTGGCAAATTATGTAGCGTAGCGGTGATGTCACTGTTTGAGAAATGATAATGGCAGGGTTGCTACAATTTGTTTAAAACTTTAGGTGAATTGAGGTTAATGAAGAAGATAATGTGATAGTTAAGAGATAAAGATAGAGTTCTATTTGAATTCTTAGAGATTTATTTATCTTCACTATCCTTAATTGGTGGGAGATGAAGGTGAAATGATTGAAGGAAAAGAGGACATTCAGGGGCTTATCAAGTAGGAAATTTTTATTTTAGGATGCTACAAATTTACGTAGTATTAGACTTTGTAATGGTCCAGCACCTCACAATCAAACGCATCAATAGATTTTTCACTGTAAATCATGCTTTCCTAGTTTAATTCATTCTCAATTTCCTAGTTTAATTCAACTTTGTTTAGTTAATTATTCTAATTTGGTTTCAACTTCATTTTGTCTATATTCTTTTCTACAATTGATTTCTTAATCTCTGTTATTTTCATTTATCTTGATTAAATTCCCAGTAGCTACAATAGTTTCCCATTTCAATTTTAGTTTTTATTTCAATTTAAATCCATCGATATTTTATTGCAATTTGCTTTTCCTTTAAAGTCCTTTTTTGATCGAGGAAAATTGAACCCAACTAAGAGTTTCAAGTTCTCTCTCATATGTTGTCTGTTCCATTATTTCACAAAAGAGACTCAGCTTGACCAGATCTCTCCCAATTGAACCAAGCCCGTTGGTTCTAGCACACACTAGCCAATTTCTAAATCGGCAGGCTTTGCCGATTTAAGGGTCAACATTTTGGCACCCCCGATGGGACCCGGGTCAAGAAGAATTGCAATAATTCAACAAGATGAATTCTGATTTTAACAATTTGTAATCGGCTTCTCAACTGATATACCAAAATTCTTATCATCCATATGGTTGGCCAGAATATTATCAGACACAAGCAGCCAATTTTCAGCATACAGAATATCAGCCAATTTTCAGCATACAGAATATCAGTTGCATACTGCCGATCAACACTATCAGCAGCTAAGTTGACCAAAACATAATCAGTCACCTATAGTCGATTATTGGCAAGTGCTAAATCAGTCTCCAGCAGCTGACTATCAGCCGGTGATAGATAAGCCAGTTACTCCCATATATCCATCATTAGTACACGGGTGGCAACCGATGACCAATCAGTCATATGGTTGGCCAGAAAATCAGTCGCAACCTATTGTCGATTATCGGCAAGTGGTACACAGGGGGCAATCGAGGCCAATTGGCCAGTAGCCGATCAATTCAACGAGTATATCAACTCACCAAAATTCTCTTGAGGATACAGGATCTCAGACTTTGTTACCTTTAGTGGTGAAGGAAACCAATCAACCGTAAAGCACATTGGGTGCTTTACAATTCAATGTGGAAGGCTAGTGCTAGTCCCTTGTGGAAATTAAGTTTGTTTCCAAAATCCCTAACAGGAGTAACCTACTCATGGTTTGCTAATCTGCCTTTCAATTATATCTGTTCTTGACAACAGATGAAAGAAATGTTTCACTCTCTATTTTGTCTTACCAAACTAAAGTTAGCCACATGTGACAATCAACTATATAGTCGGCATGATTCTTATCGACCACTAGCGGAATATCAGCCGCCAATGGTATACCAGTCTCATACTGCCGATCAACACAATCCGCAGCAAAGTTGGTCAAAATATGAGCAACCATCAGTTGAAAATCAGCCACATGCTGATATCAGTTAGCCTTGCCGATTTAATGGGTGGACAAATCAGTTGCCAACAGATGATCAACCATATGCTTGGCCTCAATATCAGTTATAATTGGCAAAATATCAACCACCACTTCTGGTACATAGGGGCATTCGATGAATACTAAAATCAGCCAACTTTACCGATATCAATAGAAAAGTTTAGCAGAATATCACCCACAATTTCCAGCACTCGGGGGGCAGCTGATGATTGATTAGTGGGGGTGGCCAATCAGCATCAATCATTAGTCATAGGTTTGTTTCCTATAGTGAATTAAACACAATAAGTTGCTGACCAGTTCAACCAACAGATATTAGTGGTCAAAGCCACAGGTAGCAATCAACCATCTGTTGTATCGTCAAAAAAGGGAGTAGCTGATATCGACAAAAGTCTAAAAATTCTTGAAAAATAGCCCACGGTTGTTGAAATTACGCCATCAGCTCGCCAAGGCAAAAAGATGAAGCAGCTGAGAGGAATCCAACTTGCTCTAATTTAACATAGTTGTTGCCGGGAATGGAAGGGTACAAATTAGCTGAGAGCAAATCGACTGAGAACTAATCGGCTGAAAGCAAATTGGCCTATGTAATAGAATTTTTTGTCGATTGTGACATCTAATAATCAGCAAAAACAATCATTAGTTGAAAGAATTATTTTAGCTTGCCACCCTCAACCTTTCAAGAAAAGAAAAAAAATGTCAATGGAAAGAGGTTAAGGTGAAGATAAGATCATGAAAGAGGATAAATTGGATGAAGGCAAATTGACAGAGAGAAAATCGGCCATCCAATGAAATTTTTTATGTGGCTAATGTAGCACTATATGGCAAGAATAATGTGCAGATAAGATTCATTGGCAGTGATATAGTGGGTCTGCCGATATCGGCTGCTATAAAGGAAGGTCGGTCGATGTTGAAGAGTTACTCAGGCAAATATCTTGGTTGAAAATGGAACCTACTCAGCTAGTTGTTGAAGAAAACCCTTTTAAATTCTTTAAGGCCAATTGGGTTGAGATGGAATCGGCTGAAAGAAAATCGGCTGAAGGTGAATGCGCAGAGGGAAAATCAACCATCAAAGAAATTTTGTTCTTTTCGGCTAATATGGCCGAAATTATTGAGGAATACGAAAATTCAAAAATATTAGTTGAGAAAACTCCTCATTGGTGCGATATCATTCGTTTGGCAGAGATAATAGTCAAATCGACTAACATGACGCTTCATAATAACTTAATTCCAACCGATTTTGATTATGCTTTGTCAATAGAGTAGGAAAATGCAAAGGGGGTAAGTCCATCATGGGTTTGGGTTTATGAGTAGCTGATATTGGCTAACTTTCTGATAAGCTAGGAAGAACCAAGATCGGCAAATATGGCTAGTATGAAATAAAGATCATCTCAAGAGTGATCTTGAATAAATAAAGCTTTGGAACTTATTGATTTGCCATCTTATTTCAAGTGATTAGCTCAGCCATTGTTCAAAATTTCTTTCCAATGTATTTTAAATTTTAAATGTCTTATCGGTTTGGACGGCCAACAGCTGATAAGCCATTTAAAAATTGGGGACATTGTTGACACCTATTTTGGCAAATTATGTGGCATGGCAGATATTTTTAATGGTGATGTCACTATTTGAGTGATAATAATGGCAGGGTTGTTACAAACAGTTTGTTTAAAGTTGTACATGAATGAATTGAGGTATCTGAAGAAGATAATGTGATAGTTATAATGTGAAGAGATAAAGATAGAATTCTTAGAGATTTATATATATTCACTGTCCTTAATTGGTGGGAGATAAAGGTGTAGTGATTGACAGGGCCGGCTCGAGCATTAGCGACTTTCGTTGTCGCCAGCCAATACGAAGTTCTCAAAATTTTAAAATTTCCTTATATTAAATTATACTATAATTATTTCCTAATATGCTAAACTTTAATAAATATAAAATTCTTATATTAGGCCTCAAAGATTTATAACTTAAAATAACTTTTTTTTTGGTCTCTCCCCCTCCGTTATTTTATATTAGGCCTCAAATATTTATATCCTAAAATAACTTATTTGTCTCGTTTCGTTGAACTCTAATTGATAAATAAATTTAATATTGGGCTTCATAGATTTAGAATTTTTTTTCCTCCATTTTTCTACTTCATTCACGTTTTACAATAAATCATAACTAATATAAAAATTTAATATTGGGCCAAAAAATTTGTATCATTAAATAATTTTTTTTTCCCTCTTTCTTTCTCTCAGTCACGTTTTTTTACACTAGCACTAAAAATATTTTTTGGATAAGTTACACCAATAGTAAAATATTAAATATTTATTTAATGTTGTTATTTTGGAAAATGGGGAAAACTTTCTCATTACATGTTTACAGTTGTTATGAACGTAATTTTATTCTATTGAAAA